AGGTATGTGCCTCTCTTTCAGATGAATTTTCAGTGTAATAAACTATTTAGCAAATACTCCAAACCTTCTAACTCTCATCCTTTCTCCTGAACTTCCTATTTTCATGATGTTCTTAACTAAACCAACCTTTAAAAACTGTTTTTCCCTTAGCTTGGTTACTTAGCAAACTTTCTGTCAACTTTGAAGCCTTAGCTTGCATGCTCCCTCTTTCTGGTGACACCTCCCTAAACTTAAAGTGAAATAAGACCTCTCCATGTTTTGTATATAACTTGGATAAAATCATCATCTTATCACAATATAATGCCTACATGTTTGTTTTCATCCTAACATGTTCTTTCAAGGAAAAAAACAGGTGTGTGTGTGGCTCCCCCTGTAGTCCCAGCACTCGGGGAGGCCGAGATGGGTAGACTACCTGAGCCCACAGGTTGGAGACCAGCCTGAGCAAGTGCTAGACCCCATTTCTAAAAAAAGCCGGGCATTCTGGCTGGCACCCATAGTCCCAGCTACTAGAGGAGGCTGAGATGAGAATTGCTTAAGCCCAAGAATTTGGGGTTGCTCTGAGCTATGATGCCAAGGCACTGTACCAAGAAGACAAAGTGAGACTCTCTCTGAAAAAAACAAAAAAGAACCAAATAAACCAGCTGTGCATGTGTTGGACTTTTTTTTTCTTTTCAGACCTCTGAGGTCTCGCAATGTATATATTAGACACTCTGAAATATTAGCAGATGTTAGAAAATCTAATCCCCTCCCTTGGCTTTGATTCAAAGGATCGTACATAAAATCCAGTGATACTTTCCTAGCAAACAATGTGCTTTTTGCCACTGGGGCACTTTTTGCAATAGGTGATAAGTACCAAATGTCCATCATAAAAAAATCCAAACTTCATATCAAAGACTACTTAAATATAAATAGGTATGTATATTGTTAAATTTTATGTTGCCCTGAGTACTGTGACATCACTGTAGCTCATAGCAACCTCAAACTCTTGGGCTTGAGCAAGCCTCTTGCCTCAGGCTCCCAAATGCCTGGGACTACAGGCATGTATCACTACGCCTGGCTAGTTTTTCTACTTTTGTCTCTTTTTCTTTTTTTGTTTGTTCTTATTTATGTAACATACCATTGCTGGCTTGAATAGTGTTTCTATTTTTGGTAAAGATGGGGCCTCATGGGCCGTGCTTGTGGCTCAAAGGAGTAGGGTGCCAGCCCCATATGGCAGAGGTGGCGGGGTTCAAACCCAGATCTGGCCAAAAACTGCAAAAAAAAAAAGTGGGGTCTCACTATGATGAGGCTGGTCTCAACCTCCTGAGCTCGAGCTATCCTCACACATTGACCTTCCAGAGTGCTAGATTATAAGCATGAGCCACCTCACTAGCCTACAACTCCAAAGATCAGTCCAACAATGAGTCTGTTCTGTGATTACCATACTAAGTTTCAAACTATTACTTCTATAGGAAAGAAATCTGCAGTAAAGTCAGAATTAATGATTCAAAAGATTTAAACAAATGTGTTTGGGTTTCTTCTCAGAGCCTTTCGTAATGCACTCTCACTGTCCAGTCTGTGTACAAATTTTGTATACCAAATTTATCAACCTTAAATTTTTTTTTTTTTTGAATAAGAGTCTCACTTTCTTTGCCCTTGGTAGAATGCTGTACTATCATAGCTCACAGCAACTTCAAACCCTTCAGCTTGAGCGATCCTGTTGGCTCAGCTTCCAGAGTAGCTGGAACCACAGGCATGTGCCACTATGCCCAACTAGTTTTCTGTTTTTAGTAGGGGGTCTGTTTGTCAAGCTGTTCTCAAACTCCTGAGCCCAAACAATCCACCCACCTTGGTCTCCCAGACTGCTAGGATTACAGGCATGAGTCACCATGCCTGGCCTCAACCTTAAATTTGATCAGAGATATTTTTGAAAGGTAAAGAATACAGTCTAGGATTCTTTTGTTTGTTTGTTTGTTTGAGGCAGAGTCGCACTTTGTCACCCTCAGTAGAGTGGCAGAGCATCACAGTTCACAGCAACCTCCAGCTCTTGGGCTTAGGTGATTCTCTTGCCTCAGCCTTTGGAGTAGCTGGAACTACAGGCACCCGCCACAACACCTGGCTATTTTGTTGTTTTTGTTGTAGTTTGACCAGGGCCAGGTTTGAACCTGCCACCCTCAGTATATGGGGCCAGCCCCCTACTCACTGAGCCACAGGCGCTGCTCAGTCTAGGAAACTAGGAAATTCTTAACCAGAGATTCTCCATTGCCACAAAATGGCTTTTTTTTTTTTCTTTAGAGACAGAGTTTCACTTTATTGCCCTCGGTAGAGTGCTGTGGCATCACAGCCCACAGCAACCTCCAACTCTTGGGCTTAGGTGATTCTCATCCGCCACAACACCCTTCAGTTTGGCCAGGGCTGGGTTCAAACCTGCCACCCTCAGTATATGGGGCTGGCGCCTTACCCACTGAGCCACAGGCACCGCCCAAAATGGGTTTTTTTTTTAAGACAGTCTCACTTTGTCACCCTCAGTAGAATACTGTGGTATCATAGCTCCCAGCAACCACTAATTCTTAGGCTCCAGCAATCCTCTTGCCTCAGCCTCCTGAGTAACTGGGACTACAGGCACCTGCCACAATGCTCAGCTATTTTTAGAGATGAGGTCTTGCTCTGGCTCAGGCTGGTCTCAAACCTATGAGCTCAGGCAATCCACTGGCCTCGGCCTCCCAGAATGCTAAGATTACAGGCGTGAGCCACCATGCCCGACACCACAAAATAGCTTTTAAAACAAATAGAAAAACAAAAACTATATGTACTATGTTTTCCCATACCTAATATCTATGATAAAGCTTAATTTATAAAGCACAGAAAGAGATTAACAACAATATTAGAACAACAAACATTAACAATATACTGTAATAAAAATAAAATAGGCCAGGCACAGTGCACCTATAATCCCAGCACTTGGGAGGCTGACACAGGGGGAATGCCTGAGCTCACAGGTTTGAGACCAGCCTGAGCCAGAGCAAGACCTCATCCCTAAAAATAGCTGGGCATTGTGGCAGGCACCTGTAGTCCCAGCTACTCGAGAGGCTAAGGCAAGAGGATCACTTCAGCCCAAGAGTTTGAGGTTGCTGTGAACTATGATGCCACGGCACTCTACCAAGGGTGACAAAGTGAGACTCTGTCTCAAAAAAAAAAAAAAAAAAAAAAAAGGTTACTTTCTTTTTTTTTTTTTTTTTTGACACAGTCTTGCTCTATTGCCTGAGCTAGAGTGCCTGGCATCAGCCTAGCTTATAGGAACCTCAAACTCCTGAGCTCAAGCGATCCTCTTCCCTCAGTCTCCCAAGTAGCTGGGACTGTATGTATGTGCCATCATATCCAGCTAATTTATCTATTTTTAGTAGAAATGGTGTCTCACTCTTGCTCAGGCTGGTCTCTACTCCTGACCTCAAGTGATCCTCCCCTCAGCCTCCCAGAATGCTAAGCTTACAGGTGTGAGCCACAGAGTCTGGCCTAAAATAAGGGTTACTTGAAGACAAGCACTGTGATACCATAACAGCTAATCTGGTAACTGAGATGGCTCCTAAGTTACTAACAGGTAAGTAGTATCTACAGCATGAATGCACTGGACAAAGGAAAGATTCATATCCTCTAATAATTTGGAACTAATTAATGGGCACTCATGGGCAGAGAGAAAAAAGTCACTGAAAATCGGGGGTAGGAGAGGTAAAAAGGGGTAAAAACCTACCTAACAGATACAGTGGACACTATTCACACATAAGTGACTCCTGACTTAATTATTATAGAAGCTATCTATGTAACAAAAACATTTGTATACCCTTAATATTTTGAGATAAAATAACAGAAAAGAAAGATTCACATTTTAGGTGGGATGGAACTAGACAGCATGAGATTTCATCATGCTACTGAGAATGACATATAATCTAAAACTTACCAACTGTTTATTTCTATCATTTAATATATTCATTTAATATTTTCAGAGCACTTTGCAATGGGTAACTGAAACTGCAGATAAACAGGGACTTTTAATTATATTAATTCCTCCAAATTTTTCAATCTTAAGCTAGAATAATTTGTTTTATGGAAAACATCAATAATTGGACACTGGAAAAAATGGAAAAGAAATAATCATTTGACATTTCAGTTCACTGGCACTATTATTTACTATACAATTCCAGCTAGATATGATAGTCACCGAGAAAGAAAACCATGCTTGATATCCAGGAACTTACCAGACAGCTACACTTCAGTGTCTATGACAGTGATCTTTAACCAGTGTGCTGTGAGAATTTTTAAAGATAATTCATTAAATTAATTTCAAAAGGGCTGGGCACAGTAGCTCATTCCTGTAATCCTGGCACTCTGGGAGGCCACGGTGGGTGGATTTTGCCTGAGCTCACAGGTTCAAGACCAGCCCTGAGCAAGATGGAGACCCCATCTCTAAAAAAAGCCAAGCGTGTGGCGGGTGCCTATAGTCCCAGCTACTTGGGAGGCTGAGGCAAGAGAATGAATGGCTTAAGCCCAAGAGTTTGAGGTTGCTGTGAGCTATGATGCCACAGCATTCTACTAAGAATGACAAAGTGAGACTCTGTCTCAAATAATTTAAAAAAAAAATTATTTGGCTTGGCACCTGTGGCTCAAGTGGCTAAGGCTCCAGCCACATACACCTGAGGTGGCAGGTTCAAATCCAGCCTGGACCACCAAAATAACAATGATGGCTGCAACCAAAAAATAGCGAGGCATTGTGGCAGGAACCTGTGTTCCCAGCAACATGGGAGGCTGAGACAGGAGACTCGCTTAAGCCCAGGAGTTAGAGGTTGCTGTGAGCTGTGATGCCACGGCACTCTACCCAGGAGGATAGCTTGAGGCTCTGTCTCAAAAAAAAAAAAAAAGAAAATTATTTTCAAAAATTTTCTTTAATTTTTTTGATCAACATAATTTAAGTGTGCCATGGAAGTTTAAGTGTGCCATGAGGTAAAAAAAGTTGAAAAACACTGGTATAGAAGATGGCTTGACCCTCGAAAATAAGCTGGTTTTCTCATAGAACAGCAAACTGGTCAGACAAGGTCACCTATGATAAAAGGGGAAAAAAAAAAAAAACCAGACTAGTTTATAATTTTATCTGAGCACAAAAAAAAAAAATAAGATTACTGTGCAAACCACAAAAACATTAGCTTTTATTATTAATATTACCTAATAGCTGGTAACATGGTATTGGCCAGTCAGCTTGGTGAAATAATCCAGTCATTTACCTACACAGAACAGACTGAGACAAAATTAAAGTGAGTACATAACAAATTTCTGCATAAAGACAATATCTTGATGTGATCTGCTAAGAGAAGGCCACTTCTATCATAGTCCTGCTTTATAGATTTAGTACGTAGCTAATTAGATGCCTTACCAAAAAAATGGCAGTTGTCTTTTGCATGTATTTTGAAATTTAAAATAATGTCAGTTTTTAAAAAGCAACTACTCTTAGCAAGTTAACACAGTTGTGAATTATGTCTAAAATGGACTTGTCTCACATGGTGAACAATTAACTGAAAAAATTCAGAAGTATAATTTAAGTGTCTGTTACTGTCAACAAAGTTAACTTCACATAAGACATGAAATCACTAAGATTTGGCTTTTTAACACTGACAAGATGTTCTGCTTTCTATATGATTGCCTGAATGCAATGCACACACTAACTGAGAGAGGTGTGGGGGTAGATATTTACACAATGAAAGTAGTGTTACAATTAAGTGAAAGCTCAGTAGCAGAAACTATGATTAACTCGATCTTTACATCCAGCAGTCAGTAGAGTCCGGCACTTTAAGTACCACACTATGTTGTTTTTAAATGATTTGCCTTTTTTTTCCTTTTTTTGAGACAGAGTCTTGCTCTGTGGCAGGACCGCAGCGCAGTGGCATCACCATACCTCACAACACACTCCTGAACTCAAGCAACGCTCCTGCCCCAGCCTTCTCAGTAGTTGAGACCTACACGGATGCCCTCTCACCCCACCCTACCTGATCCCAAACTAATTTTTCTTTTTCTTCTTCAGAGACAAACGGTCTCCTTCTTGTTCGGGCTGGCCTGAAACTTCCGGCCTCAAGCAATTCTCCCCACTCAGCTTTCCAAAGTGCTAGGATTACAGGCGTGCCACTGCAGCCGGCGTCGCCTCCCCCATCCATGATACTAATGGGCATAAACTCTTTGTAGATTAAGGATGGTTCGAATATTGTAGCTGAAACGGAATTACAAGTTGTTGTTTTTTTTTTCCTCCTGTTTTTTGGCCGGGGCTGGGTTTGAACCCACCACCTCCGGCATATGGGGCCAGCGCCCTACTCCTTTGAGCCACAGGCGCCTCCCAGGAATTACGAGTTCTAGATTCACTTGCAGTTCGTTATCCTCTTAGTACCCGGGAGATGGTTTCACCGCTCAGCGTACAGCACGCCACACACTCCGAGACCGCCGTCTGCACTTGGCAGCAGGGAAGCACCGACGCCCCGCCCTGCTCACGTGAGCGAGGCCAGTCCGCACACGGCTGCGGCGCACGCGCGGAAGAAGCCGTGGCGCAGGCGTGGGCTGAGCTCCAGAGGTCTCCGCCTTTGAGGGCGGGACCTGGCGCCGGCTGCTTTCAAGACGCGTCCGCGCTCTCCGGCGCCGGGCTCGCGGCCCAGACTGTGACTCTTCTACCTCGGACCCCGGCGGGTCGGCGGCGTGGGGTGGGGCTCGCCGCCGCCGGGCCCGGATTGGCTGCCTGGCGTCGCCTTGGCCCTTCCTGGTCGCGCAGTTCAGGTGTGGGGCGGCCGCCGCGGGAGCCGGCCCGGGCGCTCGGGGGACGCTCTGTGTGTTCCCAAGGAGGTGTCGACCTCGTCCTTACGAATTGGAGCTCTCCACCAGCTGCACTTTCTAAAAAGAGTTTGAGTTTATGTTTTTTCTTTTTGTTCCATTGGTGGAAGATGTTGTCATTCACGTTTGCTTCTAAACGAGTTTTTTGGCTGACAACTTAAATGACTTTATTTCTCTCAAAGACGTTGTATATTTTCTCCCTCAGGTGTTCATATCCTTATATCCATGACAAATCTTGACGACAATATATGCAAAAGATATGTAAAGATGATAACTAACATAGTTATACTGAGCCTGATCATTTGCATTTCTTTAGCCTTCTGGATTATGTCGATGACTGCAAGCACCTATTATGGTAAGTATGTTCCCAGTTTCTTTCTTGCCATCTAATTGGCAGAATTTAAAATTGTACCATTGTGAACTCCCGACTGTGCATAGTTGTGTTTGCTTAACTTCCACAGCTTGTATTTAACTTACTAACATAATATAAAAAGTGCCTTCCGTGAACGTTTTAAACCCTTTAATTTTAATAGATGCTTGTGTAAGAATACTAGTTATACCTCTTTAAAAATGCCTTTAATATTTTATATAATTATGCCATCTCTCTTGGTTAAAAAGTGAGGTGAAACTTAGTTTTGTAAGAATACTAGTATTGTAGTTTACAAGGTTAAGTGTCCTGTGAAAATAGGCCGGGCTCCCACCTGTAATCCTAGCACTCTGGGAGGCCGAGGCAGGTGGATCACCTGAGCCAGAGCGAGACCGCCTCCCCCATAACCCCCATCCCCGTCTCTAAAAGTAGCCGAGCGTTGTGGCAGGTACCTGTAGTCCCAGCTACTCGGAGACTGAGGCAGAGGGATCACTTAAGCCCAAACGTGTGAGGTTGCTTTGAGCTACGACGTTACCGCACCCTACCAAGGGCAACAGTGAGGCTATGTGTCAAAAAATTAAAATAAGGATTAAAGACAGTGTAATGTTAACATTTGGAGATTTGAAGGACTTTCCTGACATTTGGTCACTGTTTAAAGCCTGAAGCTACTATGCCATAAGCTACTCTGGACTCAACACCTTAAAGATTTTGACCTTAGACCTTAGACCTTAGACCATGAGCACTCCTGTACACAAACTTCCCAGGTACTCCTGTAGAAACATAATACTGGTCACTTCAGAACAAAGGAAAAAGTGAAAAAGAGAGTGAGCAAATAAACTCTTATAAATGTTTATATCTGAAGTGATTGCCATTTCTGATCTTTCATACAGACACTGAATAATTGGATAGATGTTCTCGAGGGTATCAGAGTTCTCAGGACTATTCATTCATAATGAACAGGGATTAGGGGTTGGGATGAGGGAAATATGAGAGGTTTTTTTATTGGTGCTGGGATTAATTATGACTTGAACTAAATAGAATAAACCAGGATTTGTAACTAAAATGTTCCCCTGGGCCCAGTCATCTAATACAAATGAATGAAGCTGGTCAAGTGTTTGCATATTAAATATATCAGTAGTTTTTGCTTTCAGAAACAGGATTTTTTCCTTTTTTTTTTTTTTTTTGGTTCAATCCTAGCTGCCTTCGTTTTTTCATTTTCCCATTTTTGATAGAAACATGAACACAGCAATAGTTCATATTTTTCTTGAAGGAAATCATTCAGTCTTGGTATTTAGGAATCTGCCAGTATTAGTGGGAACTTAAAACATGGCCATGGCCTCCTTTAAAGAGGAGGCCTTTCTTCACCTTCAGTTAATTCTGCCATGTGGACCAGAATTTATGGCTTTTAAAACAGAAGCCAAGAATCTATAGATTTTCTTTTATATGAAATCTCCTAATCTTTAAATATTGACTCAAATTGTTTGAGAACACTCAGCTAGCTGAACAAAACATTTGTGATCTGGATGCAGCCTTTGGAAAAAGCAACTTCTAACCATTGAATCAGGTGTGCTCTGAAAGGCAGAGAGAGACATAAGATGCTTTTAATTAAAGAATTTGTTCTGTGTAGTTCTTGAAATTTAATATGTACATCCTTTCAAAAAAATGAGGAACCTGAGATTCAGTTCAATCTCCAAATACCCATATTTGAAATACTCATTATCACAAATAGCTGTAAATATTGGCCATTCCTCAGTAAGATTGCCTAACTGAAAATATACAAATCTCAACATAAATCCAGTCATGTGCCTCTTAACCATATTTCAATCAACAACGACCTGTATACGATGGTCCCTTAAAGTTACGATACTGCATTTATACTGTACCTTTTCTATGTTTAGATGTGTTTAGCTTCAAAAATATTTACCGTGTATTATAATTGATGAGAATATTCAGTACCTAACATGCTGTACGAGTTTGTAGCCTAGGAGTAGGGGATGGGGAACCTGCAGCCTTGTGTTTCCCATATGGCCTGCTGGATACTTGAAAGTGGCCTTTAAGCAAATTTGAATTTGGTCAAGGGGCCTGTGGCCACAAGTTCCCCATACAGCCTAGGTATATAGTAGACTTACAGCATTTAGGTTTGTGTGAGTATGGTCTATGTTTGTACAAGGATGAAATTTCAGAAGGGCACATTTATCAGAACATATCGCTATGGATATTTTACTATTTTATTTCATTTTATTTTTGAGACAGAGTCTACTTTGTCACCCTTGGTAGAGCACAGCTGACAGCAACCTCAAACTCTTGGGCTTAAATGATTCTCTTGCCTCAGCCTCCCAAGTAGCTGGGACTACAAGCGCCTGCCACAACACCTGGCTATTTTTAGAGACGAGGGTCTCAGTCTTGCTCAGGCTGGTCTCGAACCCATGAACTCAGGCATTCCACCCACCTCGGCTTCCCAGAGTGCAAAGACTATAGGCATGAGCCACCTCGCCTGGCCCTATGATAGTATAATCCAGAGAGCAGTTATCAAAGTTTACTGCCAAGAATAACCTGTGCGGACTTCACACAATTTGTGCTCCACCTTTGTAATTTTTCAGGTAACTTAAGGCCCATTTCTCCTTGGCGTTGGCTGTTTTCTGTTGTTGTTCCTGTTTTGATCGTCTCTAATGGCTTTAAAAAGAAAAGTCTAGATCATAGTGGAGCTTTAGGAGGTATGTTTTTATTTTGAATGTTTAATGATTGCTTATATAAAGTTATGTTTTCTAAATTCTGAATATATAAGACTACTATCACAATGTTACATATTTTAGACAATGATAAAGTTATGTATTACTCAGCATTCCAATTGTTAAAATTCGCTAAAGTAATGTACAGTTTAGTGTGACATGCAGATTTGATTTTGTGACTGATATAAAGTAGATTAATGAGATAGACTTTTCAGAAAAGACCTTGACTATTCTACTTCTTTAGTTTGATTAGTCTTCTACTAGCAGAACCCTTGGAGCACTTTTCCGAGGTGTAGCTCAGAGGAACAGCTGGAAAGAGTAACTCTTTGAAATTGCTTTTAGTGATCTAAAGTGAAACAGTCCAGGCTTAGTGTTCTGGATTAATTTTTCAGAACTAAGTTAGGGACAGGCCATTTATTCCTTCTTTTAGCAAATACTTACTAAGCACTTATCACTATGTGTCACCGTTCTGGAAATTAGGGACATAACTGTGAATGAGGGTAAAGTTTCAGTTCTCGTGGAACTTTTATTCCTTAGGGCAGATAGATAATAATAATAAAACAAAAAACTTTTCAGGTAATGATGTTTAGGAGAAAAAGGGTAATAGTGTATCCATCAGAAGATATGGGTCCTTCTGTAGACAGAGAAAAGATCAGGTGCTTTTCTCTAGAGCAGTGGTTCTCAACCTTCCTAATGCCACAGCCCTTTAATACAGTTCCTATGGGTTGCCACCCACAGGTTGAGAACTGCTGCTAGGGAGATCATTTTGAGCTGGAACTAAAGAAGCCAGTAATGAGAAGATAGGAGAGAAGGATGTTGCAGGCTGACAGAATAACAAATGGAAAAGCCCCTGACATATACAAGCTTGGCTTATTTGAGAGTGAAAACAATAAGGCTCATTTAACTAGAAAAATAGTAAACTTAAGTTGAAAAAATAGACAAGGGCTGAGTCATATTGAGACTTGTACACCACAGTAAGAATTGTATTCCAACTAGATGGGATCTCTCTGCATCAGATCAGGAACATGACATGATCTGATTTGACATTGGAACTGTCCTATCCTACCAGTGTTATTAACACCAAAACTTGATGATTCCTCCTGAACAATTCCTATGGGATATATAATCACTACAGATGAGGAATCTTTAGAACGGGAAGGTCTTGAAGCCACCTACCTTCAAAATGCTGCTTATCTTCAGCCCCTAATGTCCTATAAGCAGCCACTATCCCCTCTGTATTCATGTACAGAAAATGTTTCCCGTGAAGTTTTAAAAAGTAGAGTAGGCCGGGTTCTGTAACTCACACCTGTAATCCTAGCACTCTGGGAGGCCCAGGTGGCTGGATTGCCTGAGCTCACAGGTTCAAGACTAGCCTAAGCAAGAGCAAGATCCCCATCTTTAAAAATAGTGGGCGTGGTGGCGGGTGCCTGTAGTCCCAGCAACTTGGTAGACTGAGGCAAGAGGATCACTTGAAGCCAAGAGTTTGTGGTTGCTGTGAGCTATAATGCCATGGCACTCTACTGAGGGCAACAAAGTGAGACTCTG